GTTAATATTTCCGGTTGCGTCTCCTTATGGCGCCCCAGTGCTTTTTGTTAAGAAGAAGGACGGAACGAAACGGCTCTGTGTGGATTACCGAGGCTTAAATGAGATAACTATCAAGTCAAGATTCCCACTACCAAGAATAGATGACCTACTCGACCTCATCAAGAACGCCAAAATATTTTCCAAGCTTGATTTGGTTTCCGGTTATCATCAAATCGCCATCAGCCCAGCTGATCGGCACAAAACCGCCATGGTCACGCCGTTTGGCCAATACGGTTGGAATTGCATGACGTTTGGCCTCACGAATGCTCCTGCCACGTTCCAACTGGCTATTAATGAATTACTTTTACCGCTTGAAGAATTTTGCGTCGTCTACTTAGACGACGTATTGATTTTCAGCACAAGTGAGGCCGAGCATCGTAAGCATATCGACGCTGTGATATCTACCCTCCAAAAAGCTGGTTTAATTATTAGCAAACGCAAATCAGAATTCTTTTTGGCTGAAGTCTCGTTCCTTGGTTACCAGATCGATGCCGCCGGTGTTCATGTGGAGCCTGGGAAAATTGAAGCTATCCAACGATTTACGGTATCCACCCCAGAAGAAGCTCATTCTTTTATAGGATTAGCCAGTTATTACCGCCGTTTTATTGAGCACTTTGCCGAATTAGCCCGCCCTGTCCATCAATATGTCAACGGGAAGATAGAATACAGTGACGAGGTAAAGAACGCGGTTGGCGAGTTAAAGCGGAAATTGATTTCTGCTCCGGTCCTTATGAATTTCGACAGTACCAAGCCACTCCGAGTCACAACCGACGCCTCTGGTTTTACTTTAGGCGCCGTGTTGGAACATGTGGCCCCGAATGGAAAAACAGAGGGCGTGGTGGCCTACTTTTCGAAGGGCCTTATCGGGGCCCAACTTAGGTACCCAGTCAGAGAGAAGGAACTTCTAGCCATCATTGAGTCATTGAAGAAGTGGCGTCACTACCTCGTCGCTCCATTTGAAGTGGTAACTGACCATCATTCCCTCACCTACCTCAATTCCTCCAAGAATGAAGGCAATCAAAGATTGCTCAGATGGCAAGATTTCATTGCAGACTTTAACTTTACGGTGAAATACCGTCCCGGAGTTACCAATAAAGCTGCTGATGCTTTATCGCGAATGAAAATCAATGCCATGATTATTGATTCGGTTGGTGAAGACGAATACAAGGCTGATGCTTATTTTTCCGAAGTGTGGAAGGTCCTTGACGGGGAATTGGAGTGTCCGAAAGAACTAAAATCCATTATTCAACGGTATCAGTTCGCTGAGTTGGCAGGACGCCGACAAATCATTTACCAAATGACTCCGATTGACAAACCCCGGCTTTGTGTGCCTGGAGGAAAAACCAGATACTGGTTATTGCAAGGCGTCCACACGGCCGAGGCTGCGCTTCATATGGGTACGACCAAGATGCTATATCAGTTACAGGAGAGTGGGTTCTACTGGCCTAAGATGCTTAAGACTATTGCCCTGTTTGTCAAGAAGTGTGATATTTGTACGAAGGTAAAACCCACAAATAGACGCCCGGAAGGAATGCTACAAACCCCAACGATTCCTGCCCAGAGATGGTCTAACCTTACTATGGATTTTATAACAGGTTTTACTCCGAGTCGCGGATTCGATTCAATATTCGTGGTGGTGGATAGACTTACCAAAAGAGCAGTGTTCGTGCCTCATAAGAAAACCGATGATGCCGAAGCGGTTGCTAATTTATTTATGGATTATGTTGTCCGAGACCATGGCCTTCCAATGTCCATCATTTCTGATCGAGACCCACTCTTCATCAGTCACATGTGGAAGATCCTTACCAAAATGTTAGGTGTTTCCCAGGATCTTTCCACCACTGGCCACCCCGAGACAGATGGCCAGACCGAACGACTCAACAGGGTATTGGTTCAATTGATGAGAACGTTGGCTGCTTCTCACGCGACTGAATGGTCTAAGTACTTGGGCATGGCACAGTTTGCCTACAACTCTCAGTACCAACTGGCTATTAGGACAACGCCGTTTTTTGCTGATTTGGGATATCATCCAAGATATTGGCAAATCATTCATGATATTCCATTGGCCACCGCGATTGGTGATGACTCTATGATTGGGGGGTGCGACTTTGTTCATCGCCAGGAAAGGATCTTGGAATCAATTCAAGTACAATTAGCCGATACTCAAAAGGAGACAACAGCGAAGGTGAATAGAAAACGCTCCGACGTGGAGTATATGGAAGGAGAATATGTGTTATTACACCGCCACGCGTTCAGAACAGCCCGAACTAGCAAGCAAAAGTTCTTACCGCCATTCCAAGGTCCGTATAAAATCGTCAAGGTACTAAATAACACCGCCTTCCAAATCCAAGTCTCAAGCAGGAAGATAATTACTGCCAATATACAATGGGTGAGGAAATATCACGCTATCCACATGATACTACCAGAAGTGGAAAGCGACCCGTGGTACAAGGAAAACATGATCTACATTACCTCATCGAAGTATTACCTTATGTTCCATCCCTTATCTGTTAGTCCTTTATTGCGGGAATGGGTCCAACACCCCATTATTAGTTTTAACCATTTTATTTATTTAAGGATTCAACATTCCTCTTGTTTTCACCTTTATTTAGTTTAAGAAAGGATCATCTTTGTGATCACCTAATTTGAATATTCTTGGTCGAGAACAATCATCGACAAGAAGCAGATTGTAACATTTTTTGTTATATTATTGGATCATGGTTGGGTTGAGTCCTGGTTGCCAATTTAAAAAAACACAATCCCCTATAATGAGTATTAATAATACCAAAAGAATTCCAAAGCCCAACTACTCCACTGATCCAACAAATGATCCTCCTTCTCAAGAAACCCTGGTTTCTTCTGATATTATCGTTGACTTAGATCATGCAAATCCCAACGCAACCGATCAAAACAATGTAAACAAACACGGAAATGAACCACTTTCAGACGAAGAAATCACTGAGGAAGATGACAATACTTTTTTAAGTACTGCTGAAACCTTTGCAACCCCATCTAATACCATAAATGAGGCCTCTAATGCTGATTCTGATGTTGATATTGCCCACCGCCCAGCCCCGGAAATTAATGTCTCTCCAGTTGATTGCGATCGCAATCTTGATAGTGCAGGTGACACTAGCGTCGACATGCATATGTCAAATCAAGCCACCATTGAATCTCAAGGAGATTCACAACCTTCTGTTTCTATTGATTTTGTTACTGAAAACTCTGAAAACCAAAAAAAAAAATTGAAAACAACAAAACCCAAAAAAACTCTGAAAACCAAAAAACCCCAAAAAAAACTAACCCAGCCCCAGTTGCTGCTTTCAGCAGATCCTACGCCCAAATCGCCTCGGGCTCTAAAGGCGCATCCCAACAGGGGACCCTGATTATGAACACCACCTCCACTTTTCAAAATGTTTTAGCCAAATTCGAAAGAGTTTTTAAATGGGCTAAATATCTCAAATCAATCAAGTTCGTGTTGAGTTGGCAATCCAAAGTTATGTGGTTAGTCATTGTTCATGGAACCTTCTAGAACTCATGGAACCTTCTAGAACTTATGGAACCTTCTAGAACTTATGGAACCTTCTAGAACTTATGGAACCTTCTAGAACTTATGGAACATTCTAGAGCTTATGGAACCTTCTAGAATTCTATGGAACATTCTAGAGCTTATGGAACCTTCTAGAACCCATTGAGATTAATATAAATATGGGCCATGCCCCCCATAGTCTGAGTTTGTCCTTTATATAATTTAGATAGTTAACAAGTAAAACAAGTATAACAAGGGAATAAATATTATTGAATATTAGTGTTATCAATGTCTTTTGTAACTAGAGTTACAAAACTACAACAGGTTATGAGTTCAAATGCTCTCACTTCGTTCGCTGCTGATGAGAAGTTGAAGGGTTCCGGGAACTTTTATGATTGGTTTACTTTGATCAGTGTTAAGATGAAGATGAAAGGTCTTGGTTTACATGCTTACTTGATCAATGGGGAAACCGGAACTGACGGGCTGGAAACTGCTAATGAAGTTGCCCAATTGATTGCTACTATGGATGAGATTATTTCAACAGCCATTTTCAACAGCATCTCAGGCGCTGCTTTGACTAAGGCTTCCGAATTTGATGGTACTGGTAGAAACTTGTTTATGTTTCTCAAGGATGCTTATGGTACATTGACTGTTACAAATGCTGTTGGTATTATCTCAGATTTAATTGACGCTAAGTGGTTGAAATCTAGCAACGGAAACGTTGAGAATTTCATTGATGCCTTCAATCATTTCAAGAATACTGTTGGCAAATTAGACGGAAACACTGTGTTGTGTGCGTTGTTTTTTAGCTTGGGTCAGAAAGCCGGGTTTAATGCAACTCTTTCCAGGGAAGTCATGACTGCGTATGAGTCTAGAAATGGCAGGTCTATTGGAAATGTTGATATTGGGCTTGTCCAAGATTTGACAAGAGAAATCATTGGAGATAAATCGGTTGGTTCCACCAGTGTTGAGGGTTTGGAACCTGTGTTTGCTTTTAAGAAACAGTACAAGTGCTTCAATTGTGGAAAACCCGGTCATTTCAAGAAGGATTGCAAGGCTCCTAGAAAGGAGAGAATGGGTGGTGATCTGAAGAATCCATCACCATCTTGTGTTGAAGTTTTGTAACCCTAGTTACAGTAGTCATTACCAATAACAAATACTATCAAACTATCCTTGTTATTATTCTTATTCTTCTTAACTAACTAACTATTTAAATAACAAAATATAAACTCAAACTATGGGGAGAGGCCCCATATTTATAATAAGACCAATATATATGATTTGTAATCATACATCCATCTAGAACATTCTAGATGATTAATCATATGCACAATGACTAATTATTAGGCTGAGTCATAATCACATGCAGATTATATATTGCTCAGCCATGGTAAATAAACCGTCTTATCCGAGACTCGAACCCAGGATCTATTCAACACATTGATACCCGTGTTAACCGTTGAGCCATCTGTACAAAACCCAATATATGACTTTGGATTGTCAACTCAACATCGCCTGATGATTCACTTCTAGGCATTGGGTCTGGGAAGACTGGATCTGGAGAAGCTTGTTTAGCACCAACCTGTTCAGGAGTAGTTTGACCATCGGATTTTGAAGCAGTAGCATCACTCATATCAACATCAAACGGCTCAGCTTGGTCTTCTTCTTCAACAGAGGACTCATCCCCCCCTGAAAATGAACTATCTTGAGTAACATTTTCAAGGTTTTCATCAAAAGCAGCAATAGAGTCAACTGACATATCACGATCAGGAACATGTACACCTCCTGAAGCACCACTAACACCGCCAACGCGGCCACCTCCTCCGCCAACAAACATGCCACCACCACTACCACCACCGCCGAGCGCGGCCTGACCATTCTTCAAAGGATAAACTAATGGCATAAAACGGAAAGCACTGGATCTAACCACTCTACCATCTTTTAAGAGTGCAAAAACTATTTTAGTTGTTTTGCTATATCCCAAAAACACACCAGCTTCTTCTTGGATAGGATCAAACTTGCTTTGTCTGTGATAATCTTTGATAAAGACACGACATCCAAAAGGAGCTTTGACTTGGAATTCCTTTTTCTGTTCTCTGAGCAACTCATAGGGGGACCTCCCGCCATTTAATGGTAGATAATTGTGGACAAACACCGCATGGCTAAGGGCAAAGTTCCAATACGAAATGTCTACGCCCGAAGCCTTAAGGATAGAAAACATTTTTTCTTGTAAAATACCATTCAATCGCTCAGCTCCACCATTCTGATGAGACGAATGTGGGGCTGTCGGTTCGAAATCAATGAAATTTCTACCACTCGATGGGCTACCATCCAACCAGTTCTTAATTGCATTGGTATCAAACTCATTGTCTGCACGGAACATGACAATGTTTTTGTTTGAATCAGCTTGTTTAAGGAAATTATGGAACATTCCTAAACACTCAATGGTCTTGGCTGACACTTCAGCTCTTGATTTAAGCACCCTGTGAGCAACAAACTTAGAGGCCCTGTCTGACACAATAAGGGCATAAGCTTTGTTTATCGGACCTATAACATCAGCCTGAATCATCTCACCAACGTTGTACTTTCGCACAGCTGGTTTACCGCCCGGCTTGGTGACTTTGGACATACACGTTTCACAACTGGTCAAAACATACTTAATATCAGCTTCTAAAACACCACGGCCCTTCAATAACTCTTTCATGGTTCTCAACTTCGCATGATTGTTACTTTCATGCACTTCTTTGATAGCCTTTAAGCCCTCGTAACTTTCGACATTAAAGGCCATCTCTTCGGCGGAATCAGCTTTAACGCTTAATTCCCAGAACGGTCCAACTCTTGGAAAGTTCAAAACAACATTACCATTTTTACGGTTGACAATAGAACCATTATGCTTGCTAAGCAACACGTCGAATCCACTATCCACAATCTTCGGGATTGAAAGTAGATTCCGTGGCAAGCCATCCATTAACTTGATACCGTTAACGGACAATTTTTGAGACAACAAATCACCTTGTTGTTTCACGGTACTTAAACCGTTGACACCTAACACCTTGGTATCATCGCGACGGACATTGGCCAACTTTATCTTCATATTTGCAAGATGACAGGTGGACCCACTATCCAACGTAAATCTCACTGCGGCATCTGTTTTACACGCACCTACAGTAGAAAACGCTTTCTTGCGACCATAGTTAGGTTTAACACTGGATATACCAGTTCCAGGACCAGGCTTGGTTTCAACCAACCAAGCCTCCTCTGAAGAGTGGTTCTCTTCAGCATCAAACACCGTTTGCAGATAGAAAGCTCTAGCATCCGGTTTTCTCTCGTAAAACTTAGAGAGCCCTGGCTTGTGGTTAGGACAATCCCTAGCGATATGTCCCTTCTTACCACAGTTCCAGCAAGTCCAGTTCTTTCTCCCACTGGACCCACGTTGGTGCACCACATTTTGGGCGAGCTCCATCAGGTTCTCTTCTTCAATGCGACTATACTTTTGACTCATTTCTTCGAAAAATCCGGCCACTTCGTCAAAAGATAAGTTTTCAAAACCGGCTTCTAGATCATTGTATCCAGTTTTATCGAAGAACTTTTGCCTAGTACCATCATCCATGATGGCAGATGCGGCAAGCGGAATCAACTTCTTCGGGACGTCAAAGTAATACGCAAACGCGGTAGTAGCTCTCTCCATTAATTCGCTATTACCTTTGGTAAGGGCATAACCAAAGTTATGCAAGACCTGGACTTGAGACTCATAATCAATCAGCTTGTACTTCTTGGCGAAAGCATACCACGCAAGCACCCCGTTGGGTTGCTTGTGCATAACCCGTTTGAAGAGCTTTTCATCTAACTTCACCCTTAAGGCAGCTTGAATCAAGACACCCAAAAAATATGGGGCTTGATTAGAGCTATCGGCCTCAAAGAATTGGTCAGCGATAAAAGTTGGATTCTCCAAACTCAAGGTCGCAAACGCAGTTTTCATGTACTCAAGTACTAATGGAAACTCCTGTTGTAGTTTTGTAACTCTAGTTACAAAAGACATTGATAACAATAATATTCAATAATATTTATTCCCTTGTTATACTTGTTTTTCTTGTTAACTATCTAAATTATATAAAGGACAAACTCAGACTTAGGGGGGCATGGCCCATATTTATATTAATCTCAATGGGTTCTAGAAGGTTCCATAAGCTCTAGAAGGTTCCATAAGTTCTAGAAGGTTCCATAAGTTCTAGAAGGTTCCATAAGTTCTAGAAGGTTCCATAAGTTCTAGAAGGTTCCATGAACAATGACTAACCACATAACTTTGGATTGCCAACTCAACACCCTCTCTCAATTCAAAGTCTCCATACCACAGAGCCTTCTCAACTCCAAGAATTGAGGGGCAGCAAGACCTTTTGTAAACATATCAGCAATCATAACACCAGTGCTCAAGTACTCCAAATTGATAGAGCCAGATCCAATGTGGTCCCTGATAAAGTGAGTCCTGATGTCAATGTGTTTGGTGCGATGATGGAAAGCTGGATGCTTTGCCATCTCAATACACCCTTGGTTATCATCAAACATCCTCACTGGACCAGTATTGATCCCAAATTCCTTGAACACTTGCATTAGCCATAATGCTTCCTTGACTCCTTCACTTAGTGACATGTATTCAGCCTCTGCCGTAGAAAGAGCAACAGTAGCTTGCTTCTTAGATCTCCATGTGATTGCACCATTGGCATATTTGAACACAAACCCAGTAGTAGACTTTCTGTCTGACTTATCTCCAGCCCAGTCAGCATCACAGTATCCAAGAAGCTCACCGTTATCATTATTGCCAGCCTCATATCTTATTCCCAAATCTTTGGTTCCTTTCAAGTATCTTAAAACTCTCTTTGCTGCCTTATAATGCACCTCCTTTGGTTCCTTGAGGTATCTGGATAGAACACCGACGATATAGCTGATATCGCTTCTAACAGTATTAGCAGCAAACAATAATTTTCCAACCAAAGATCTGTAAGCTGTGGCATCACAATCCTCAGCACTGTTGTCCACCAAGGTGAGCTCCTGACCAGCAATAGTAGGCGTCTTATCTGGGTTGCAATTCTCCATTCCAAATTCCTTTAACATAGAGCCAATATAGTCTTTCAAGCTCATGTTAATACCTCCATTATCTTGCGAGATGTTGATACCCAAAAATTTCCTGACTATTCCCAAGTCCTTCATCTTGAAGACATTCATCAATTCACTTTTCACTTTCCTGATGGCAAAATCTGAGGTACCAGTTATCAATAAATCATCAACATAGAGAGCAACCATCACAAATGATTTTTCCGATTTCCTTGAGTACAAACAATACTCAGCACCGTTTCTAACAAAACCAAGAGACGACAATACACTGTGGATTCTCTCATTCCACACCAAGGGAGCTTGCTTCAATCCATATAAGCTTTTCTTCAATCTCAAAACCATTGTTTCTTTTCCCTTAACCACATACCCTTCCGGCTGTGTCATGTATAATTCTTCTTGAAGAGATCCGTTGAGGAATGCAGTTTTCACATCCATCTGATGAACTGCCATTCCATTCTTAGCTGCAATACTCAACATCAACCTGATAGATTCATAACGCACCACAGGTGAGAATGTCTCATTGTAGTCAATACCCTTCACCTGTGTGAAACCTCGAGCAACAAGTCTTCCCTTGAAGACTCCGTTATCTTTCTTTGCAAAGACCCAACGACATGTAATTGGCTTTCTTCCTTTCGGCAACTCGACCAATTCATAAGTGGAATTCTCCTTGTGAGCCGCAATTTCTTCGTCACAAGCGCGCTTCCATTCTGCACTTTCGTTGCTCTTCATGGCTTCCTTATAATTTCCAGGAACATCACTTCCACCAGCCAAAGCAGCAGCTTCACCAGCCATAAAACAAGAGGCAACATAATTCACAGGTTTGTACTCTAACAACTTGCCTTCGGCATCATCATTCAGTTCTGATTCCTCATCACAATCACTTGGCTGTTCAACATGTGGCTCAATTTCCGAAACCACCAAGTTGTCATTGCTACTACCATTAGGAACAAAAGAAGTAAGCTCTTTTGAGCTACTGTCGTTTCTGTATTTCTTCCTTTGTGGTTTCTCAATAGCAATTTCCCTCTCTGAATCTGAACTGAATGTATCAGATTCTTGTTCAACTTCTGCCAAGATCCCAAATGGATTTCTTTTAATCAAACCTGTACTTTTCTTGGGCCTAGAACCCGATGATCTTTTCCTTTTTGTAGCAGTAACCAACTTGAACTCTTCTGAAACCATCCTTGATGGGATTAACTCTCCAGTGGCATCCTCATCATCGTCTATGATTCTCATTTCCACGTCTTTGCTTGAGGAAACAGTGGACTCTCTTTCTGAATCATCCAAATCGGAAACCATTCGTTCATCATCAACCGAGATCTCACTTGCAACATCCTCTAAGTCTGGATCACTTATAACAGGGCCTGGTGCAACGCCACCAGCAAAACCCATACCACCAGAGCTGCTTACCTTAGCAATCTCGGTATCCACATCAGTGACTCGCTTCACATCCTGATAGTAATATCTTGACTCATCAAATCTGACCTGAGTCGCCACAATAATCTTGTTGGCAGCAGGATCAAAAATTCTGTACGCACAGTGATCTCTATCATACCCGAGCATCACTCCAACCTTGGCGGTAGCATCAAATTTTCCATTTCTCAAACTGTTTGGTATAACCACATATGCAAGGGAACCAAAGCAGCGAAGATGGTCAAGGCCCGGCTTGTATCCATACCAACGACCATATGGTGTGTGGAAATTAATAACGCGGGATGGCGTCCTGTTAATCAAATAAACAGCCGTGCGGACACCTTCAGACCAAAACTGAACCGGCATAGAAGCCCCAATAATTAAAGACCTAGTTTTGTCTTGAATTGTCCGATGCATTCTTTCAGCAACACCATTTTGATAACTATGGTGTGGCACAGTCAACTCATGGGCAATACCTTTGCTTCTCATGAAATCATGCAACTTTCCTGTAACAAATTCACCACCATTATCAGTGCGGATAGTTCCCACGGTAAACTCTTTTCCCTGAGACTTGAACATTGTTTCGGTGTATGTAATAAACTCAATAATCCTGTCAGCACACTCTGACTTGTTTTTCAAACACTTAACCTCCACAAACTTGGAATACCCGTCGACAATAGTGAGAAAATATTTGCTCGAATCAATAGACCCATAATTGATTGGGCCACACACGTCCATATGCAACAATTGTAAAGGCTGTTGTGGTTTAGCACCCTTCCCGCTCTTTGGTCTTCTGGTAACCCCTTTACTTGTCAAGCAGCTTTCACATAACTGCACAGAATCTTCACTGTAAAGTTTACCTTTCACCAAATGAAACATCAGATTGAACTTGTTCATAATATTCATACTGGGATGGCCTAATCTCTGGTGCCACAACCCGCTCTTATCAACACTGTTAAATGCCACACCATCGACACTGGTGTGCAAAGCATAAAGATCACTCATAACTGGATCTTTAACAGCAACCACTTTCTTTTCAGGGTACATTTTCACCTTGTTTCCTTCAAATAATAATCTTGCACCATTCAGAGTAGCCTTGGAAACAGAAATCAAATTGGCCTTTGACCCTGGAACATAATAAGCATCCTTGATTTCGATACTGGTGTTATCACGTAACTTAAACACCGCAGACCCGATACCTTGAACCTCGAGAGAACTGCCATCAATACCTGAGATCTCACCAGAAAAAGGACCAATGGTTTTAAACATCTTTCTGTCATTCAAAATATGTTGCGAGGCACCAGAGTCAAAGTACACTCTGGAGGCCCTACCATGCATTCCCATAAATGCATACCAAGATGGTGATGGATTCTTCAGATCACCACCCATTCTCTCCTTTCTAGGAGCCTTGCAATCCTTCTTGAAATGACCGGGTTTTCCACAATTGAAGCACTTGTACTGTTTCTTAAAAGCAAACACAGGTTCCAAACCCTCAACACTGGTGGAACCAACCGATTTATCTCCAATGATTTCTCTTGTCAAATCTTGGACAAGCCCAATATCAACATTTCCAATAGACCTGCCATTTCTAGACTCATACGCAGTCATGACTTCCCTGGAAAGAGTTGCATTAAACCCGGCTTTCTGACCCAAGCTAAAAAACAACGCACACAACACAGTGTTTCCGTCTAATTTGCCAACAGTATTCTTGAAATGATTGAAGGCATCAATGAAATTCTCAACGTTTCCGTTGCTAGATTTCAACCACTTAGCGTCAATTAAATCTGAGATAATACCAACAGCATTTGTAACAGTCAATGTACCATAAGCATCCTTGAGAAACATAAACAAGTTTCTACCAGTACCATCAAATTCGGAAGCCTTAGTCAAAGCAGCGCCTGAGATGCTGTTGAAAATGGCTGTTGAAATAATCTCATCCATAGTAGCAATCAATTGGGCAACTTCATTAGCAGTTTCCAGCCCGTCAGTTCCGGTTTCCCCATTGATCAAGTAAGCATGTAAACCAAGACCTTTCATCTTCATCTTAACACTGATCAAAGTAAACCAATCATAAAAGTTCCCGGAACCCTTCAACTTCTCATCAGCAGCGAACGAAGTGAGAGCATTTGAACTCATAACCTGTTGTAGTTTTGTAACTCTAGTTACAAAAGACATTGATAACACTAATATTCAATAATATTTATTCCCTTGTTATACTTGTTTTTACTTGTTAACTATCTAAATTATATAAAGGACAAACTCAGACTATGGGGGGCATGGCCCATATTTATATTAATCTCAATGGGTTCTAGAAGGTTCCATAAGCTCTAGAATGTTCCATAGAATTCTAGAAGGTTCCATAAGCTCTAGAATGTTCCATAAGTTCTAGAAGGTTCCATAAGTTCTAGAAGGTTCCATAAGTTCTAGAAGGTTCCATAAGTTCTAGAAGGTTCCATGAGTTCTAGAAGGTTCCATGAACAATGACTAACCACATAACTTTGGATTGCCAACTCAACAAGT